AAGCTACTATTATAAGAATCTTTTTTTTTTTTAAATAAGAACCTTTATGTTCCTATGTTAAAAGGTGGATAGAGATAAGAATTTGCCTACTACATACCTTTCAAATACTTGCTGAAGGGAAAAAAAGATTAAGGACATATACAAATGTAGGCTCTATAAATTAGTACTGATTACCTAGAAGGGTGTAGTAGTTACATAATTTCATGTTAACTAGAAGGTGTAAAAGTGTAGGGGTGGAGTCTAGCCTATCAATCAGGTCACAGCCTGATGGTGCCTCCTTGTGGGTGTGGCCTCCCCTTCTCTCTCGGTCTTTACCTTCCTGTTGATGAAACACACCAATCTGTGCCAGCCCTAGGATGCTTCCACTACCATTGGAGTCATAAACCTGTGATCGTCCTGTATTCTTCTGCATAACTTCTCGTGTGTGAATCTACAGAGGGACTTACGGACTAGTTTCAGACTTAAGTTAGACTGGGCTGGGATGTTTTCCTGATATACAATTACTTCTTGCTATAAAGCTCTTTCTTACACATGATTGCCATTGGATTTGTTTCTCTAGTCAAGCAAGCAGAACACAAAGGGCGACCACTTGTCAGTCTGTTATAGTGTGATGGCCTCAAGATGGCTGCAAAAAGGGGGTCATCCATAACAGCAACTATGATGGTTGAAGACCAGGCAATGTTTCAATATGGGCACTATAAGAACTGACTTTAATAGTATCTACAACAAAATCCTAAAGTAGAGAAATATATACTATTTTAACTATAATACCTGTGTCTAACAGTGTTTCTCTATATTCTATTTCCTTATTTTAACTGTATCAAAATAACTACTGAAAATCAGCATTTTTAACCTATTAACAGCTTATTAAACATAAAACTTTCCTGAAAATTAGACCAAAGGATAGTGATAGTGATGAGCATGGCTTGCTAGAAAGAACATGGACAACTTAATGTTTCCTTATGAATAGAAGCATGTATTATAAAATGAGATCAAGGCAAATAAAGCAAAAATTGAATTAGGTCATATTTCCAAACCATTAAAATGTGTGGTCCAATCACTAAGATCTCATGCATAACTGCTGTGTTCATGGAAAATGTACTTCACACTCTTAACCTTCTGTCACCATTCTCGACCTTTGATTGGACCAACCCTCAGATAGTAGTTTCCATTGGAAAAAATAAACAGAAGAGCAGGTTTTCAAAACAGTGAGGGCATCTATAATACTCCTTAAAAATACAACTCAAATCCTATAAATAAGTATTCAAACCAGTACTACATAATAAAGTCACATCGCAAATACAATGAGAAACTTTCTTACAGCTATAAATATCATTATGAGGTTTAAAGGAAAAATTGTGTAATAAGTAGTATTGGTTGGACTTAAAAAATACTGAAAATGTCCCTACTATCAATTGAAACCACAACTACAGCTTGATTAAATAATAACTTACTTTCAGTCAAGTTGTTTCCAATGCAGAGTAAGTTTAACATTTTAGTATTTAACCTACTCATTTATTAAATTTAAATAGAACTCTAACAAAGCAGTATTGGCCAACAACAAAATTTCTTTCAATTATCAGCTAGTTACTTAGAGAGTTAACACTACAACATTTAATGTAGCCATGAAAATAATAAACCTCTTCTAAAATTTTAGCTTTAACATAGATTACAAACTGCTGTCATTTGTGAAATTCTCAAGTTTCACAAATTTGAGACGTTGTCAATGTAGCAAATGTGAGATCTTAAATAAAATTTCTTGTATCAAAGCTTTCATCTTACCTGTGTCTTCAATAAATTGCACACATTTTTCAACAAATAGTGGTATAGGCTTCTCAGCTGTAATCAGATCCTGAAGAGGCACTCCAAAATAATTACTTTCCCAATTTCTACGTGTTGGTGGATTGAAATTCTTAGTTTTCTTTTTCTGCTATAAGAAAACATATCCAAATTGATTAACATCAATTTCCTTCAGAATACTATTAGTACTCAGCAATACAATATACACATTAGACTAAAAAACATTTAAAAGTCACATCCAACTTAACTGGCCATCAATACAGGATTCATTCAATAAATTATGGTAGAACAGCAATAATAAAAAATGAACAGAAAATGGATTTTAGTCATAGAAAAAAAAGAAGTTCCCCTTGGGAAAATAATAGAAAAGCTGGATAGGAAAGGTCATATTTCAGTGCTAACAAAGGGCAAACTAGGACTCCGTGCTGACTAATTACATTTTTGTGGTTCATTTGGTCTAAGTTTTTATGCATATCTGTATTTATACAGTATTATACAATAAAGCTAAATTACTATTCCATGAAATGTAGTCCCATGATTTGTCCCTTACCTACCTCACCCCACACGATTTTCTTCATATCTACTAAGTCTCTCTTGAATAGTCAGCTGATTTCCCTAAGTAATGTACAAAACATTTTCCCAAGAGCAGAAACAAAATGAAGAATTTCCCATTTAATATCAATCTAACATCAGAGAGAAAATGGCTTCTCAATCAGACAATACACATGTTAAAAAAAAAATCTATCCTTGATAAGATATTGATTCAATCTCTTTAGAGTTTAAGAAGTATTTCCAAAAATGGTTCTAGAGTGTACCCCACTCCCAGTTGAAAATTTCTAAAATATAGGAAATGAGAAAATTTTCAGAAATTCAGAAGACTTTAGAGGATTTTTATTAATAATCTTGTTTCCTTTTTCATTCTAATTTATAAACTTTTATTTTCTCTGACCTAAGTATATTACACACCTACTTGTACTTTAAGGATCATTACTAGGTTACAAACAGGACAAAAAAGTCTTTTTAACCAAATAAGTGTGTGATGAGGAAGGGGTCAGAGAGGCCAGGATTCTCAATGGTTTTTTTCCAATTCTTATCTTAGTTTATGCTTATCATTCTTTTTGGAGTCCCCTCTTTTGAAAGATTTACTGAATGTATTCTTGCAAGTCTACAAATACCTTGAGTAGCTAATTAAATTTCTTGTTCATTTTAATTTCATACTTTGACATTGCAAACTGACAAAGCTCAAAAAATTCATTTTCTAAGTCCTAATATATTATTACTCTCCAAGACTACACATTACAAATAACATTACTGGGTGTCTGGAATATTGTCAACAGGGTGTCTTGGAGTGTTTGATCAGTTACAAGACCTAATGAAGACAAGTGGGATGGATCTTTTCTTACACTGTCCGTCTACTAACACCAGCACTAACCGCCACTACAACCAGTGTTCTACTGAACATTATATGTAAGTACATATAAAGCTATCACAACAGAGCTGAGATAACACAGTACCTCAGTCTTCTTTTTCAGAAAGAATAAGGTATTTTCTAGTCTGCCAACTATGAGTGGCCCTATTATTTGTGAAAACTGAGGCCAAGATGGTTAAAAAAAATTTTTCTGAGGGAAATCATGTAGTGGCAAAACAGATGAATTCTCAATTTATTGACACTGCTTTGTGATGAATTGGGTTTTTTAAAAAATCTTTTATTGGGGGCTCATACAACTCATCTCAATCCATATATCCATTTTGTCAAGGACATTTATATATTTGTTGCCATCATCATTCTCAAAACATTTTCTTTCTACTTGAGCCCTTGGTATCAGCTCCTTTTCTCCCCTCCCGAACTCTTGATAATTTATAAATTATTATTTTTTCATGTCTTACACTGTCCAATGTCTCCCTTCACCCACTTTTCTGTTATCCGTCCCCTAGGGAGGGAGTTATATGTAGATCATTGTAATCGGTTCCCCCTTTCTCCCCCACCTTCCTCTTATCCTCCTGGTATGGCTACTCTCAATATTGGTCCCAAGGGGTTCATCTGTCCTGGATTCCCTGTGTTTCCAGTTCCTATCTGTAACAGTGTACATCCTCTGGTCTAGCCAGATTTGTAAGGTAGAATTGGGATCATGATAGTGGGGGGAAGGAAGCATTAAAGAACTAGAGGAAAGTTGTATGTTTCATGGGTGCTATACTGCACCCCGACTGGCTTGTCTCCTCCCTGCGACCCTTCTATAAGGGGAAGTCCAGTTTCCTACAGATGGGCTTTGGATTTCCACTCCGCACTCCCCCTCATTCACAATATGATTTTTTGTTCTTTGATGCCTGATACCTGATCCTATCTACACCTCGTGATCACACAGGCTGGTGTGCTTCTTTCATGTAGGCTTTGCTGCTTCTCAGCTAGATGGTCGCTTGATTATCTTCAAGCCTGTAAGACTCCAGACACTGAATCTTTTGATAGACGGGCACCATCAGCTTTCTTCACATTTGCTTATGCACCTACTTTGCCTCCAGCTAACGTGTCGGGAAAGAGCATCAAGGAATCCCAGATTAACAGAACCAAGGTTTCTTGCATTGAGGGAGTACGATGGATTGCTTTTATAGGGCCTTCCTTAACAGTCTTGCAAGGCCCACTGAATGACTGGGTGGCACTATGCAAATAAGGTGCCCACCAAGGGGATAGACACATCTAATAACTGGGAAATGCAATGATCATACAAAGAAGGTGCATGGAACCCTCCAGATGGGATTGGCTAGTTTTGCCATTCCATTAGGCTTAAAAGAACACAAAGGATAGAGGGAGGAGTTTAATGGTGAGAAACAGTAGTATCGCAATAACAAAAGCAATAATGGCCTGAGACAGCTGGCAGTGGGGTTTGTCAACTCATGGAGCTCAGAGCTGTAACGTGCCTTACAGAAGATCACTAGCAGGTCCAGCAGAAGAGGACTAGAAGCTGTTCTGATCAAAAACTGTATCTTGAGTTGTCTTGTTACTTTATAGTTACTTCTAATTTTGTGTTATATGTACCCTGTTACTTCCCTAATAAACCACGTGTGAATATAGTTTGAGAGTTCTATAAGGCCTTGCGCCAAGTTACACATTACAGAAGTCAAACACGGAAGGTAGAGTACAGAGAGGAAGAGAGGGAGTAGATGATGTGATGATGGAATGAATGGTAAGGTAGCTTGAAAAAGTTGGACATTTGGGACATATTTAACTTGTGCTCATGGAAAACAGCTTTTGCTGAGCCTTACAAAAGAAATTATTCATTTAATCATCTTTTAGTAGCCACTCTAATCTGCTGGATGACTGAAATCATTCCATCTCCATTTTTGGGTAAAAGAGTATTATCTTTAGGAAACCTTCAATAAGCAAATAAAATTGGGATGAAGGCAAAGTAAGAGAATAAAGTAGATTCTCTGATTTAAACTCAGTGAATATACCCCAAAGTTCATAACACTGAAAAGGAAGTTACCGAATTCTGCAGTTATATTAAAAGTTGGGGCTAGCAATCTAAGGCACTACTGAAAGGCCAAATGGGCTACAGCAAAATCTCTGGAAACTCCTAAATGGGATAATTTATTAACTCAGTACTAGCCTTTCTGTTGTTATAATCCATAAAAGCTCTTGGGAAAATTCCGTTATCTTTCAATTCCATTTTTTCTATGAACTTTGGAAGCACAATCATATTAGGGGAAATATTAATTAAAAAATCAAAAGCATACTAATTTTTCTATGAAATGACATTTCTGTAACAATTTCATATGCAGAAAAGTTTTATATTATCACCAGTTGCTGATGACTTATGGTGATGTGTGCTCCACAATTTTAAATGGCTTGGATCTTTTGTCAGGTCTTTTTTCCAACGTACCTCTGTGTAACTCAAACCCCCAATGTTTCAGTTAACAGCGCGGGAAATTCATTAACTGTATGCACTGACTTTTATGATAAATAAAATTTATATTATTCCTTTTTACTTCTAGTGATTGCTCTTAACCAAGGGATATATCAGAACTACTTCAGGGGATTCTCTTAAAACATACAAATTTTGAAAAACTACAGTACACATAATTCTGATATGGAAGCCTTGTGTAAGATTTGTTGATTTACAGCTACAAATTTAAATAAATCAATTAAAATTAATTTATATAATTTAAAATCTATTTCGTAAATTAAATCAATGCCATTAAGGTTCTTGCACACAAAAGAGAAAAAGTATGGTATTGTTGCTATATTGCCTTTAAAGACCTTTTACTTAAAAACAAAATTCCCAAATAGTCAAGTCACTTTGGAAAATAAGACCAGATTAATGATAAATCCAAGGCTTAAATGATTATTACATTCAGACATACCTTGATTTCTGCCTAAATTCAAATACCTAGTCTTGTTTCTAGTTACTTATGCAAATCTACTGTCTGAAAAACACAAAACACTCCATTCATAAATAATATTTTAAAAAGTTATCAATCAAATTTCCAGCAGGTATTTAAGCAAACAAACTTTCTCATCTATGTAAGTAAAGAGGTCCAGGAAGAAGAAAAATAGCTCTTCGGAGAAATTGCTCCTCTCATTTCAGTAACATAAGCAATACAACAAAGGGTCATCTAAGCAACATCCTCAAGTAAACACTATAACCAATAATATTTTAAAACAACAACAAACAATTGCTTCATCTATCACCAACAAATAAGTAGACCAGGCCTTTGTACTTTCATTTCTTAAATTTAAGATGGGATTCTTGAAATAAAGATGAAATAATAGGAAACTGAAATGTAAAGAAACTTAAGGGGAAAAAACCCAACTTATAAAAATGATAAACTTTAAGAAGCAAATAAAGGATTCAATGCAAAAAGATTAAAGGAGCAAAGTTGATCAAAGTTGCCCTTTCTCTCTCTCACTCACATAGCTATTTTGTTCCCATTAAATAAAAAAATCAATCTTATTCATAGCAACTACCCCATCATACTTCTGCAAACTGCAGAAGTCATCTATATTAACTATCTTCAATCCCTCTTCTTTCACTCCCTCTTAAATATACTCAAATTAATCTATTACTACAAGGGTTCTCATCTTACATAACCTTTGGCAGTCATTATTATCACAATACTTTTAAGATACCACCTCTA